AAAAAACGAATAATGATCGAAAATTGCAAATACCTATGATGTTATGGTATGATGTTCAACCAAAGTGACATTGTTATATTATTTTGTTTTGTTTGTTTGTCCAAGCTGACGCGAATATCACGTGAAATCTAAAAAATTTTAAAACATCAAGGCGTTATGGCAGTGCACGCACGCCACAATATACGAGAATATTATATACAGGGTGATTTTTTTATCGAAGAACACTCATACTCATACACTCATACTTTTTTAAATAATGAGTGTTCTTCGATAAAAAAATCACCCTGTATACAATCGGTACCCATACCCACGAGAMACGACACGACGCGACAAACCCGTGATGCATGTCCCCTGCGTAAATTTATTTTCTCCACGACGAGATAGGTCGGATTGAAACTTTATACAATATAATATAATTGCTTCGGAGACGGAAACACTTGGGAAAAATGCATTCCTCTATTGCAACCATTTGCGGTATTATATTATATATCTATGCGCGCTCGGTTGGTGCTCGATCGTCTGCGTATGTATGTATATGGCATATTCAGATACAAAGGTTCGTAGCTACCCAATGTATACACGTGTATACTGTATACATATACATTATACATAATACTTACATGTAATATATTTAACTATATATCGCGCTGCATTCAAAGATATTATGTTAAATCAATTTTGTTATATATTTCTCAAACGGTGAAATTACTGATTTAATAAGAACGTTGAATGTGACGCTGCTTTTATCGTCAAAAAACAAAACTAGTCCSTCTCATATTGCCTGAAGCTGTAGCAACAGACGTTGCAAATGTTACTTTGGCGCRTTGTTATATTATATTATGTGTTATAATGTATTCGGTCGTGTAATGTGTACGAAACGCCAAGCATAGCAATTTTTAATTAAATGTTTATTTAGTTGTTAAAAACGTTATATGATGAAAAAAATATATAATTTAATCAAACATATTTTTCGTTTGTTTTACATAATCACTAGTTGTTATTATATTGTACGCTGTAGGTACGTAATATGTATAGCTGTAGTTTTGCAGGTTAAGGGGCAGCAATTAAAAATAAAAACAACCTGAAAATAAAAATTTATAATTTTTTTCTCGCTTTCAAACATTTAACACATCATACATAATATGTACATTGTATAAATTTACAGATCTCGTAAATTACAAACGTGTACCGAGTACCTATACGAGGCACCAACCAACATTTTTAAATATGAACCAAAAATAATTCAAGCTTGAGGGTGTTGGTTTCATGTTCTCTCTTTTTATATCACTTGATAAATAGAAATAAAATAATGTGGCCGGGCAAAATACAGCAATAGAGTTGACGAATTCGTCTAATTGTGAAATGCGAAAATTCTGTATTTTCAATTTAATCTGTATAAGCCTGATTTCGTTAAACTTTAACTGCAGAGTAATAAAAGAATGATTAACTGAAAGTATTCAAATCACACGGAGAGTATTTACATAATACCTACAAAACAGTTTAKAATTATACGCATTTTCTTCACGAGGATCTCTTGTCTTTTCCCACAAAAATGGGCATTTGAGTGTCTTGTCACTTCATWATGTTGGACTGTTGGAGAAATGTACTGAACTATATTTAATATAAAGTATTTCGGGCATGACAGACGGTGGATTGGCAGAACATGATATCATTGTAGTAGGCCTAAGGTATTTGGTTTTTGGTACTATGAGCGAAATTTTGAAGATCTTGCAACCCAATAAAATATACGCTTACATTATTATCATGCAG